TGTTAAGTGTTTGAAAATTAGGATGTGGTCCTCAAGAATCATCAGATGTTTTGTTTTGTTTTGTTTTCTCTTTTTTAAAAATACATTGGGTCATAGTTATTTGCCTTCCAGTTCCTGAGTGCCTAGAGTCCACTTGCTTTTTTTTCCTTTGTAAACATGATGTGTAGAATTTTTTTTACCTAATGTAAAGTGAGTTTGTTCTATAAACCTTTTATTCCAATTGCTGAGGCTTTAATAAAAACAGTTTTGTTGAGATGTGCATAAAATGACATGAGATGGCAATGAACTTCTGAATTTGGCTCACTTTGGGATGGTAGAAACCATATTTTCTCATGTATAATACACATTTTTCCCCAAAACCATCTGCTAGATATTGGAGTGTGTATTACACAAAAGGAAACATGGTAACAGCAGTTTCTCCCACTTAAGATTCTTCTGAGCAAAAGTGAAAGTAAAGTCTGCCCACTCCCCAGAGAACAAAACAATGAGCAGGATTGACTCATTAGCTCCTGCTACTCAGTTACCTACTACAAGAAGAGACCTTTCTTCCTTTATTTCTTCATTCTGCCTTTCAGAAATGAGGTAACTTATTCTGGGGCATGTTGTGTGTGAGAAAATATGGTATATGGCAAGGCACAAGGAGCAATGATTTTTTTCTGTTTCACGTTATCTTATTCTTTGCTTGCTATTGCTACACATCCTTCTTTTAGTCCCTTGACATCTAGACTCTTGAAACCAAATTCAGAGGGATTGGGTGGGGTTTATATTATACAAGCAAATTGCCAATCAGGCATGACTGGGGGGGTGGGGGGTTGGGGAGCAGGCAGGGACAGAGGCCTGTGTCACCTTGCCCCTTCTCTCCACCACCTCAGGTCTGGGCCCGCTCCCTCCCTTCCCCACCCGTCGCTTCGGGCTTTGGCTCGTTCCCCCACTCCTCCCTGCTGCTTTAGGTTCAGGCCCACTCCCCCCTCCACCCTGTCATTTTGGGTCCAGTTCCCCCCTGCTGCTTCAGGTGTGGGCCTCTGCAGCCCCGCATCTCCATGCCACCGCCACTCCATGCCTTCTAGGAATGGGGGAAGGGAGCTTGCAGGCGGTGGTGGCGGGCACCTGCAGCTGGCAGCCATGGCGTGTGACCAACCGCTGCCACCAGTAGCTCTCCTCCTCCGTTCCTCCCCTCTTATCCACCTCCTCCCTCTCCCTGCCCTCTGCTTTGGCCCCTGGTTCCAAGGAGCAGGGCCGGGAGGGGGGGGCGAGGCCAGTGGCTCCTCAGTCCTAACTGTCATGGTGGCACTCTGCTGTGTGGGGAGGCGAGGCCAGTGCTGCACCACCAGCACCCCATGCCACTTCTGCCTCCAAGGAGCAGAGCTGGGGGGAAGAAGCACTGCTGGCCCTCCCTCTCTCCCCCACCCCCCACTCTGGCCCCTCATTCTCCACTGCCATGGCAGCGCTCCACTGTGTGCCTCTATCTGTGCAGAGCACTCTGGTTGACTGCTGAGACAGCCAATCAGAGTGAGAATAAAGCATTACAGACAGACAGACTAAAGCTTTTATAATATTAGCATGTCAGAAAAAGAGTCTGAATTTAACGAAATATAAATTGGTGGATTTTATTTGCTGAGGAGTCTGAAAGAAAATGTAAGTTGAACCACCTCAGACTCGCTTAGTTTTGCCTTTGAATTTGAACCGATGACTTAGCTTCCCTCACTCGGGCAGAATTTTGGAGTACAGCACAAAGCTCTGTTTTGTGTGATATTTAATGGATGGGGTCCATTTGGAATAATTTACTCTCGAGCTGTCTTCCTTCTTGATAGGTTTAGCCAGACAAACACTAGGAACCTATCTAAACACTGGTACCTATCATTAAGCACTGAAATGCTTCATTGGCACAACTATATACCAAATTTAGGTGACCTAAATCATATCTTAGGTGCCTCATGGAACAAGGTGCTCAACTTAGACTGTCACATATGAAAATTTATTCATGAATATTACTGTCACACTGTTAAAATTTAAATCATCTTTTGCATTTTGGCTCATGGTTCTTGCATTCTTAGTTTGACTGTAAACCCTGCCGAACCTTTGTAGTCTTTGTAGTGACATTACATTACGGGTGATGAACAGGGGGAACTCCACAATCAAGAAGATTGTTGAATAATTCAAATATCTTTGAATTACATATAGAATAAAAAATACTTGATTATGTTTTAATATCTTTTCTCTCCCTTTAGCTACAGATCTGATGTGGGAGGGCATTAAACAGAAAGGAGATTACTTTCTTGCTAACATCAAATTCAACTTGACCAAAGTGCATAATATATTTCAATTTAATCATTAGTTTGATCCAGTTTTGCTTCAGATTTCACACACTGATGCACAAAGTTTAAAGTTCTGTCTGCAGGTGAAAACAAAACAGAACATTTTTGATGGAATTCAAGTACTCTGAAGTATTTCTTTCCCTTCTAAAATAAATCTTCATAGCTCTATAGCCAGTGCCCATTAGAAGGATATAGGAACAGAAAGTAGAACCTTTACTGTACATATGGGCAAGGGGTAGGCACTTGATAAATGAGTGGGAAAGCCTAGGTGGGTTTCATGGAAGGAAACAAAACCAGAGGAGTGGTAATGAAAAAGGGGCAGCCAAAGGAAACTGCTGAAAGATTAACTGCAAGTTTCAATCGCATATTTCATCTGCTATTTTATTTTTGGTTTTTGGAACTAAGAAGTGAAATACTGTAGTGATATTTTTGTATTTACAAACTAATTGTGGGGCTTATAAACTATGGTAAATAATGCCCCCCTTGTCATTAAATTTATAGTTTAGCTTTCAGAACTCATAGGAAGAAGTTCTGTCAGCAGCTGAAGAAAACACTTTCATCAAAAGATGGCATGGTTATCCTTGCATGACTGTTATGTAATTCTTTGATCTGAATTTCTTAAGTTTAAAATTGACATACCTGAGAATTTTTCTTCAATTCCACAATGTGGAAACCTTCCAAGACATAGCTAACGTTTGCTCCATGTATGTGGACCTTGTTCTGAACAGGATTTTGTGGGTATATCAGTAGAGAGGAAGAGAACCAGAAGTCATGACTTGGTAGCAATGATAAGCACATTCCCAAAACTTCAAACTTAACCCTGTGAACTTCAGGAAAGTTCTGATCCAGATTTGTCAGCTTCAGATCCATGTCCATATGAAAATAGATATGAGAGGTGTGTTACATGAATGGTGCCTGTGGCTGGTATAAAAAGAGTCTGCTCTGTACACGGTCACTATTTTCTCCCTCATGACGCCATCCATTTCTTAAAAGAAATGAATTTTAATTAAGGTTTGATACCAGTACATCCACAATTTGCATAAGGGTTCTACAAACTTTACTTGTATTCAGTGTCCACAGTAATAATGCTGTTTTCCTGTAGGTCTGTCTGCTTGGCTTTCATTCAGACCGTTAGGTAAAATTAAGGCCCAGAAAATCGGATTATTATATCCCAAGGGGAAGGACAGATAAGCAGCAGATGATTGTTGATCTACTTGCTACTGTGCGGTGGTGGTGTTTGAGGTGCTGCTAGATGCAAAGCCAATTTGTTAACAATTAGTACTCATTAGAATCATTTCCTGTTATCGACTTTTAAATGTTTGACAAAGCACTTTTAGGAAACTGCACCCAAAAATAGTAGCTGTACATTAGTGTCTAGCAATTAAAATTCTTCAGAGCCCAGTGTCAATCTTAACTAAACTGGTTACCTTGGCTCCTTGAGTAATTATTTTTACTTTGGAGTCCACCTGCTATCCCATCCAGTTTAAAGATGCTTTGGAAGAAGGACATACTTCTTTATTAGCAGAGTTGTTGGATAAGGTACTATAGAGACAGAAGAAATCTTGATTTTTATTTCTTGCCTGCTTTGGGTGGGGGAGGAGAAGGGGAGCCTGGGTTTGTTACAGTCAAGGTTTTTATCTTTAAGAAACATACAGAGAGATCACATGCTGTAAAATATGGGAATTAAAGTAAGCATGGAAGTACAAGTGACTTCCATTACCTTTAACATTTAACGTGTAGGTTTAATTTTAAATGCATCCCTGCTTTTATACACATATTGAGAATTACTGAGCTATTATAATCGAATTTATAAATGGTAAAATTAGACACTGAGGCATTATATTATAGAAGCCATTGAATATTTAAAAGTCCAAGAGGGCATATCTGTTCAGTTTCCTGAAAAACTTAGGGCTGATAAGATTTACTGTACTATACTATACTCTCTTAATCTTTGTTTTACATGGTAAGTATACAAGTGTAACTCTGTAGGATATATGTTCACTGCATGTATATAATGTGTGTATGTATATAGAAAAATGATCTAATCTTATATTCATAGCATCTATACATGCACTGTATATTTACACATACACCTTATAGACTCACAATTATGGTATCCTTGTTTCTGTGTAGATTTGGCACTGTCAAAAGTGACTATAATAGTAGTACAACCATCTGGGTTTGTTTTATCTCCTTTTTTTTTTTTGGCTTTAGATATTCAACAACATACGCTCAGGTTTCACAATCACTTTTTTAAATGTGTAAGAAATATTCCTGAAATACATTTCATAATTCCTTTTGCACAAGGTGGAGACCTAACCTAAGACTTGGTTTTGTGCCTAGGAAATTCTTAGTCATGAATTAGTCTTATGATTACTGATAAAATTAAAAGACAAATGTGTATTCCTCTTTGAAATATTCTGTGCTTAATCCTTCTATCCTTATAAACAGCTATGGTATTGACACAAGTGAATTTTGTTTAACCACACTACATTTGCTTCTTAATTAGTAAATATTCATCTGTCATCAACAGCAGCTATGACACCCCTCCCCGCTAACACGTTCTGTCATAAATAATCAATGAGGCTCTATTAATATTCATGAGTCAGAATCTGTGTAGTCATGTGCACTGATGCAGAGACAGGGGGAGTGTTGCCATGAACTGAGTAGAAACTCTGTGTGTGTGTATACGTGAGTGTAAGATACTTAGGGAAAGGGAAGAAGAGCATGCTGCTACACAGTACCCTGGCTTGTGCTTCCAGCTAACAGTGGTGTGTCTGTGTTTCTGTGCTGGAGTGACTGATGAAAAACAGTGTTCAAGTCTGGAGGGTGATTCCCTGTCAGTGCATTTGCCTTTCAGTTCTGGGAAAATTAGAAGCTTTGCTCTTGTTTTGCTTGTTAGAATGGGCTGCAATCTGTGCACTTTTCAGAAGAGAGAGGAACACTACAAACTGCTCTATGAAGTTTCACAGGTGAGTGCAGAGGATATTGCCAGTGTCTCTTGACTCAGACTTTGTGCTCTTACAAAAACATTAACTAAAAAGGGATGTTTTCCCCCTGTGGAAATTATTAGTTAAGTTGTTCCTTTTTATTATTGTTGGGTGACTGTTGTTTTCTACTACTTTGCCACTCCCCCTTCAGATGACTTCCTGTGGGATCCTTTTAACATTTTTGTGCATCTTCTGCCAACATGCCAGTCGTATAACAGCAATTCTCATTGAACCTTATCAGTAATGTTGTAAGGGAACCCTTAGCTTTAGTAATAGGATTGTGGTTTCAGATCAGTTATACTATGGCTTCTGCAGGTGCTAGGATTTAACAGGTCTGCAATCTCAGGTATTTCTAACTCATGGAAGAAAGTTTTCATGGCAAATTTGTGCTGGTCAATAAGTGTATATAATTTTATGATTGATAGATGAATATGTCTGCTGAAATTAAAATGATCTTAATATACATTTGAATTTTCTGAACAGGACTTAAATAGAATAGATTTAAAGGATAATGGTTTTCTCAGGGTTTTTTTATGCAGACTGTGTATTATTTTAGTTTATCACTAAACAAATATCATAATATCTTCCAGTTATTTTGTTGCCTTTTCCAGCAGCAAGAATATTACTATAGCAGTTTGTTGTTAACATGTGTTTCCAGCTTATTCATAATAAGCGGGGGGGAGGGGAACAAGCACTTACCATAATAGCCCATAATTTTGCACAGATCTTATTGAATCTCTGTTTGATTTACAGCATTTTGTTTGTTTTCTTTTGGCA